GCCCAGTCAGCTAGAGAAGAGATTAAAAAAAAAAAAGTCGAGGAGGACATCACTGATTCTCTGCTCTTGGGCTGCATGTGCAGAGTCACAAAATGGCAAATTACAGAATAAGCCACCATCTTAGTCTCTGAGTGGAGCATTTCCTAGATACGTTTACATAGCACAGCAAAAGCTTTAAATCCAGCCAGTGTTGGAACCACCAAGGCAGTAGACAGAAAGGAACAACAAAAATCAGTGATCTCCAGGATACCTGATACATGATATCCACAATGGCTACGATTGGCAAGCATGTTAGTTCATGCTATAATCCTAGCACTTGGGGTGCTGAGACAGAAGGATGACTGTAAACTCCAGGTCAGTCAGGGCCTCATAACAAGACCCTATCTTAACACAGAAAAGGTCTAAAATAAAAATCTCTTTTAGTGCACTACAAACAACCAAAAAAAATGGAATTACTTCTGAAATTAGATTCCAACAATTCCCACACCTTAGTGGTATCCACATATCAAATTGTCAGAACCTAAAATCATCAATGTAATCAAAACTGGGTGGGGGTGTTGGGGGATAGGGCTCAGCAGAAAAACTGAAATTTAAAAATCAGGCCGAAGCAATGTCAAGTTTACAGAATTGCTGAATATAATGTCTATCAAAATGGAAATGATAGAAAATCAGTAAAATCAAGCATGAATTGATAAAAATTATTGATGTGGGATGTCGTGTATGCTGTGAATATGCGTTGCTTGTTTTTGGTTGATGAATAAAGCTGTTTTGGCCAATGACCAGACAGAATAGAGCTAGCTGGGAAATCTGAACAAAGAGACCGGGAAGGAAGACAGAGTCAGAGAGATGCTATGTAGCCACTGGTAAGCTACAACCGCCTGGTGATACACAGATTAGTAGAAATGGGTTAGTTTATAAGAGAGAGCTAGCCAGTAAGCTAGCTAGCAACCCATTGACCAAGCAATTATAAATATATATTAAATCTTTGAGTGGTTATCTTGTAAGTGACGTAGGGACCCAGGGAGCAGAGAGAAAATGATCAAGTAGGACCAGACAAGACAGAGAAGCCTTCCACTTACAAGTTATCTAACCTGAATTACAAAATAATAATAATAATAGTAATTGAAAACAAGTTAATAGAGCCTCTGGCACCTGTGGGACAGTTTCAAAAGGTCTCACATTTGTATCATTTAATCTATGAAGAGAAAGCTTAGTGTAGAGTACATACTTCGTGAAATATTTGCTGTTACAACACCAAGTTTGGTGAAATATATAAAACTTACAGACAAGTTCAGTATGAGCTGGGCCTGGTGGCTCACACCTTTAACCCCAGCACTCGGGAGGCAGAGGCAGGAGGATCTCTGAGTTTGAGGCCAGCCTGGTCTACAGAGCGAGTTCCAGATCAGCCAAGGCTACACAGAGAAACCCTGTCTCTAAAGACCAGGAAAAAAGTTCAGTGACTGCCAAACAGCATAAACTCAATTAAAATGGTCTATACACATCATAATCAAATTATTTTAAACCAGTGATTGAACCCCTAGGACCAGTCTATCAGAGGAAACTCATACTTTTTGTGTAAGGGAGCAGTTATTTTAATTAATTGGCAAGTGTCTCTTCAGAAGTCATGGAATCCACAGCTAGCAGATCAAAATCTTGTAAGGGCAGGAGAAAAACTGGGCTCAAAGTATTTTTAATTGAAAATAATTTTTTCTTATATTTGTCAAGACAGGGTTTCTCTGTGGCTTTGGAGGCTGCCCTGGAACTCACCACCAATGCTGAAAATAAATTTTATATAATATATTCTGATTATGATCTTTCACTCCTCCTAGATCCTCCCCACCCACCCAAAGTCATAGCCTTCCTTTCTCACTCACTTGTATTCATTAGAATACAAGCAGGCATCTAAAAAATAATAATAAAATAAAAGGCCAGAATAGGACAATGAAAACTACGAGGAGAAAAGGTACCAAAGAAAAGCACAAGAAACATATTTGCACACACAGAAATCCCATAAAAACAACACTAGAAACCATAATATATACACAACAGATCAATAAAGAAAATAATGCTCAGGCAAAGCATTCCAAAAGAAGGGACCTCCAAGAATGCTATTGAGTTCATTTTGTGTTGGTCATTCTGGGCATGTGGCCTCCCATTAAATATGGTCTGTATACCCAGTCAGACTTCAAAGGTTGTGTGGCTGGGTTGGTGTAGTATTCCCTCCACTGGAAGTCTTGCCTGGTTACAGGAGATGGCCAGCTCAGGCTAGGAGTCTTAGCTAGGGTCACTCTCATAGATTCCTGGGAGTTTTCATTGCACTAAGTCTCTAGCTTGTCCCAGAGATGCCCCCAATTAAAACTGTCTTTCTCAGTACTTCTCCCTCCATCCTCCTCCCACTTGGTCAAATTCATAGTTTTAAAAACTAATTGTTATTTTCTGTGGTCAAGAATGTGCTAGGTTATGATGTAGTACATAATCCTTCTATATGAAGACCTAACAATCTAATGGAGGAGACAATTACACTGTTAGAACCATGAACAGAGTGTTTTTATTGCATAAATAATAAATTAATGAGAGCTGCTTATATACTTAGAAAGGGTTTATTTTATTGGAACACTTCCAGGTAACAGTCCATCACTGAGGAAGTCAGCTCAGGAGCTAAAACAGAAGCCATAGAGCCCTATTGCTTACAGGCTTGCTCAGCTTGCTTTTTTATATACCAAGGACCATCTGCCCAGAAATGGCACCTCCCACACTGGGCTGAGTCCTCCTATATCAATCATTAACTAAGAAAAAGCCCTACATACTTGCCTACAGGCAATCTGATGGAAGCATTTACTCAGTTGACATTCCCATTTCCTTGATAGGTCTAGGTTTATGTCAGGTTGACCAAAACCAAGATACACACAAATAGTAAATGTAATTTTAAAACTTTTTAAAATATACTTCTTATTTTAATACTAATATTGTATTAATGTTAATTAACTAAATTTTAGTATTAATATTGTTTTTTACTTTGATTTCTCATTGGGCTGTTATATAGTCCAGGATAACCCTTGAACTTACCATAAGAGGCAAGCATAAGTTCCTGGTACTCCTGTCTCCACTTCCCAAGTGCTAGGATTACATGTGGGCACTGCTATGCTGTTTGTTTTGGTCTTGGCTATGGGTAGTTTTGTTTGATTGATTTGGGGGTTTTTTGAGATAGGAGTCTCAGGTAGTACAAGCTAGGCAGGAATTGCTGTATAGCAAAAGATAACCTTGAACTTCCAATCAATCTTCCTGCTCCTTCATTTACTTCTCTAACTAGATAGAGAAGTAAAAAATGGATTACAGGGGACAACAGAAAGAGCTGGAACTGTGGACCTATGCTACCACATCCAGCTTGAAAACATGTCACTTTTTTGCTTAGGCACATGCATGATTTTGCAGGGTCAGATTACAAAACCTGTCTTGTTACTGATTTCTCATCAGAACCATCAAAATGCCAAATTGATAATTTCAAAGAAAGTTTTTAATAGATCAAAACTTGATGTTGTTTTGCCATGATTTTGTTTTATTAAGCCTTTTATAAAGACTCCCACTGCCTCATGAGTAACAGCTGGAAGGCTAAGTTCAGTGACAGGTGAGAGAAAATACTACTTTCACACAAGAAATTTTTAAACATAGAGCCATTTAGGCAGGTAGAGACAAAAAACGAGAACATATGTATGCAGGTGTATATGTAAGGCTTCCCTTAAAGTTGAGAGACACACACTTTGAACACAGACCAGCCTGAGTTCAAATCCTTGCCTTTGGGGGAGGGAGAGATAGCTCAGCAGGTAAGAGCACTTTCTGCCCTTCCAAAGGCCCCCAGTTCTTGGGTCAGTGGTGCACACCACTGTGCATTCAGTTTCAGGGATCTGATAACCTCTTCTGGCTTCTGTCGGTACCCACATACACATGACAGACACAAAAATATACAAGATTAATTTTTTAAACTCCCCGCTCTGTTTGAGCCTGAGCAGGTTGAATCTCTCTTGCATAAGTAACGCTTTATAAGGTTATGTTAGAGATTAATGTTTAGTCTTTGTAGCTGAGAATGTAAAAATGTAAAGGAAATCTTCAGACAAAAGTAAACTAAAACAATGTAATAAATCAGTTGGTCCCTGATAGCAATTTTACAAAATGAATAAAGCTAATAGTGCTTATAATACAGATCCTATGCTTTGTCTGAAAACGTAGAAAGTGTAATTTACCCCCAAAGAGTAGAATTTGGAAAATGCTTGACCGTGTAGCAGTGGGATTGTGAATGAATAGATGGTAGGGTGCTGTGTGGGTGAGGATTGCAGTAAAGGCTGTAATGACCCTTGTGGTGTGTCACTACAGAAGTGAGCTGCATTATCTTGTGCATCTTACAGGTGAGCTCAGGTATGAGAGGTGCAGAGAGGGCTGGGGTGCAGTTCAGCTGCCAGACACTTGTCTCCTATGCATGCAGCTCTGGGTGTGATTCCCAGGGTTGCAGAAGACCAAGTGCGGTGGTGCATCCAGTAATCTCAGCGCCTGAGAGGAGGAAGGAGGGGATCAGAAGTTCAAGGTCAACCTAGGCTACATGAGATGCCGCCTTGAAAACAGATAAATAAGTAATAGAAAGTAAAGAAAAACTGAAAGCACCAACTAATAACATTGACTATTAGAATAACAAAATTGTGAGCAATTATTTTATTTCCTTTATATAGTAATACCATGGAATTATCATTATAATGAGATTAAATTATATAAGAATATTAATGCCTCTGTAAATAATGCATAAACTTTAGATTTTTTAATGTTTGGCTCCATTATTAAGACAACCAAAAAATGAGACTGTTATTCTTAGATATTTAACTACTAAGGGATCATCCTTCTATCACTGTGTTTTTCAGTCAGTTATAATTCAGCCTCGTATATTGACTATGGATCTTAAAATAGAAAAACTTTAAGGTAGAAAAATTTAAAACTGTTGTGTTTTGATATTACAGATTTACTTGAGGTTCTTAGATTACCAGATGGAACACTCAAATGAGTGCAAGAGAAATTTTGTGGCGGTGTATGATGGAAGCAGTGCTATTGAAAATCTGAAGGCCAAGTTTTGCAGCACTGTGGCTAATGACGTGATGCTGAGAACAGGAGTGGGGGTGATACGGATGTGGGCAGATGAAGGCAGTCGGCTTAGCAGGTTCAGGATGCTCTTCACTTCCTTCGTGGAGCGTAAGTAAAGAGTTCAAGCCTATTGTATAATTTTCACTTGTTCACAGTACGCTAACTGAATACCTACTTTTTTGACAGAAAAAGTACTTTATTTTATAAACTATCACAATGCACTTTTTTGATTCAACAGGAACATTTTTTTCCCCACTAACTTACAACAAACCCTATGCCAGGTCAAGGAGTTAATACAAGAGTGAAGAGGGTCAGGGCAGATTTTGGGAGTCACATTATGGAGCTTGATTTAAAGACAAATAATGGCCTATAACAGATTTACATGCCATAAAACACTAATTTTTTGTTGTTGTTGTTTTTCAAGACAGGGTTTCTCTGTATTGTTTTGGAGGCTGTCCTGGAACTCACTTTGTAGACCAGGCTGGCCTCGAACTCACAGAGATCCGCCTGCCTCTGCCTCCCGAGTGCTGGGATTAAAGGCATGCGCCACCAACGCCCGGCTTCCCTCCTCTTTTTTTAATGGCTTTTTATGGTGTAGTGTCCCACATTGCTTTCAGTTGCCAAGCATCCTTGGTCTTCTCCATCTAAAAACTGCTCAGTCTTTACTTGTCAGAGTCTCGACATGTGAAGTGTAGTTGTGTGGGGACACCAGACCTTGAGCAGAGACCCACTTCCCCATCAGCTTGGGAGTAGGCAGCTATAAGACAATGTTTACTAAAAACATGTTTACTAAAAACAATACAATGCCCAGGGCAATAGGTTCCTGAAAAGGGCTGGCCCACGGGAACTGCCCTGACCTCGACCTTCCCAAAGACTATCTGCCTCTTCAGACCACCCACCCTCACCTCTGGTGTCAGGGTATATAATAACGAACCAGAATAGGAATAAAGGAGAGCCTTCTTGAGGAGCCTTCTGGTCTGTGTCTTCAATCCCCGACACCCTCCGCACATTCTTGGACACAGGCTGCACAGCGGGCGCGGCGTAGTTGTTAGTGATTTAATAAACTGTCCACTGATTTGGGTTTATGTGATGTTTTCCCCAATGACTGACTGAGATCATGAATTTTATATAGAATACTTAGTGGCATCTCTATCCATCATGACATTGAGGTTGGGATATGGAATACAGATCATTTTATTAATGCTGATTTGCTACCATATTAACTACCATTTTCCTAATGTTACGCCGGTTTTCCCCAATTATAGAATTAAATTTTCTTGCTGGTCTTTTGAGGACTATAAAAATATCTTTTCACTACTAATTTTAGCATCCATTGAAATTTTTTGTAACTTGCAGTAGTTATTTGTTCAGTATTTACATAATGATGACTTTCAATTTCTATCATTCTTTCTGCATATTCTAATTATAATTTTGCTATGAGGAGAAACTAGTCTAGTCTTTCCCTCAATTATATATTCAGTTGTTGTGCAACACTGTTCCTAGGAAGACCTGAACAAATGTCTATTCACTCCCAGGAGAAAATCGATGACAGACCAAAGTGAAGATGCTACCAAAACCCAACTTTGCGAACCAATGAGTTTTTCTAGGGAACTTACAGGAGCAGAGATGACTCAAAGACAGCTGCATCATCAAAGCCCACCGCAGCAATGGTGACAGCTCACAAAGCTGGGAACCTGGAGCATACTGCACAGCCTGCAGGCAGCTCAGTTACTTGGAAAATGCCCCTTTTAAGCAGCTCATCTGGTCTGAGAGTGTCTCAGCAGCCCTCCCTGCTTATGCAGCCATGGGGAGGGAGGGTAATAGTGTGAGTTTCAAAGACTTCCTCAAGTCTGAGTTGTTCACTGTCTGAGCTTTCAGAGCTTCCCCGCTGGACAGAGGTTCTGTCCCAGAAGAAATTGCTATACAGCAATTTATATACATCAGTGAGTGTGTAGATACTTATTCTATTAGTCTATAATTATATATTACTATTATCATTCTAAATCATGGGGGTTTTGTTGTATACAATCCCAGCTTCAGCCCCACTAGTTTCTGAGTTTACCTCCTGTCTCTTTCAGGCCAGTCATTACTTTTAACCCTAAACTTAAGGGCATTACTTGGTGAAACAGGTTCGTTGTGGTGTTCCAGCTTTAGAACTATGTAACATGAAAACAAAAACCCAGAAACTAATATTGGGATTCAAGCTTCAAGCTGAAGATCAAAGAAGCAAAGCAGCCAGCCACTAGTTCTCACCTCTACCTCAGACTGAAAGGGCTGTCCTGTCCTCAGTGTGACTGGAGAATAAATCTCTGAGACTGACTTTGCTTCTTCCTTATATACCTCTCTCCTGTCTCCACCTGTCTAGTGCTGGGATTAAAGACATGGGATCCCAAATGCTGAGGTTACCTTTATGTGAACTGTTTCTCTTTTAGACTGATTCACTGTAACCCTGGGTGACCTGGAACTCACAGAGATCCATCTGCCTTTGTCTCCTGAGTACTGGGATTAAAGGTGTGTATCACCATTGCCTGGCTCTATGGCATGTTGGGATTTAAAGTGTGTATCACTACTGCCTGGCTCAATGACTGTGGCTGGCTAATATAGCTGCTGGGATTAAAGGTGTATATCACCACTGCCTGGCTCTATGGCTTGTGGCTAGCTTTGCATTCTGAACCCTTAGGCAAGCTTTAATAAATCATAAATAGTATATCATCACAGAACTAAGCATATTGCTAAAGACACACTTCTTTTTCTTACTATGAAAAACCTGTCTTCAAGCCATATAGATAATTTCAAAACTGCTAACCCTTATCTCTGTGAAGATGGTCCTAACAGAGTATCTCATTTGTGTTTAGTTCTTTTTTTTCATACTGTGGTAAAATATACATAAAATTTGCAGTCAACCATTTTACATGTGAAGATTAATGGTGCTTGACATTCAAGTACATTCATCTTATTAGACAGTTATTACCATTGTCTTCGTCAGTGCTCTATTGCTGTGAAGAGATAATATGACCAAGATGACCAAGGCAGCTCTTAAAAAGAAGGCATTTAACTGGGGTCTTGCTTACAGTTTCAGAGGGTTAGTTCATTATAATCATGCTGGGGAGCATGGCAGCACACATGACACTGGAGCAGTAGCTGAGAGCTAAATCCTGATCCACAGGCTAAGACAGAGACAGAGACAGAGAGACAGACAGAGAGAGAGCATGTGAGAACACGTGCCTGGGCCTCACATGGGCTTTTGAAACCTCAAACTTCAACCCCAGAGACATACTTCTTCCAATAAGGCCACACTTCCTAGTCCTTCTAATCCTTCTCAAGTAGTGCCACTCCTAATGACTAACTAGTCAAATACATGAGCCTATGGGGATTGTTCTTATTCAGACTACCACACCATTATCGATCGTCATCCAAAACTGAAATTCCATTAAATAGCCTTTTTTTTTCTCTCCCTATTTCTGGTAAGCTCTTCTCTTCCAGTCTCTGTTAATAATAGTAGCTCACATAAGCAGATCGTGCAATGTTTGTCCTTTACTTCTGGTTTACTTCACTTAGTTTAATACGTTAAAAGCTTTCCCATATATCAGAATTTTGTTGTTTTTAAAACTTAATAACAGCTCATGATAATTACATCCCTATCACCACGTACCTGCCAGAAACAACATAAGAATGAAGGGTTTATATTGAATCATGGTTTGAGAAAGTCCAGTCCATGATCATTTGTCTCCAAATGAGAGACTGTGTATCCTTGGACAAAAAACCTATGGGGGAACAGGGAGTGGAATGTGGTGGTTTGAAAAGGAATGGCCCCCTGGACTCATATGTTTGAATGCTTAGCCCATAGTAGCACTATTAGGAGATTTGGGCTTGGAGTAGGTGTGGCCTTGTTGGAGGAAGTGTGTCACTGTGAGGGCACCCTTTGAGGTCTCACATATGCTCAAGCTATGCCCAGTACACAGTCTCTCCTACTACTGCCCGCAAATCAAAATATAGGCATGCTGTTTGTTGTTTGGTCTTTGATTTTTTTTTAAGCAAGGTCTCATGAATTCCTGCTTGGCCTATAGCTGAAGATGACCTTGAACTCCTGATTCTACAGGATAGTGCCACACCCAGTTTATTCAGTGCTAAGGATTAAACCCAAGTCTTTTGTTTATTAATTTATATTTTACATTCCAATCCCAGTTCCCCCACCCTTTTCTCCTCCAGCTCCCCCTACACACCCCCACCTCCCATCTGCTCCTCTGAGAGGGTAAGACCTCCCCTAGGAAGTCTACTAAGTCTGTCCCATCATCTACGTGAGACAGGACTAAGTCATCTCTCCATCCCCCACACCCTTGTGTCTAGGCTGAGCAAAGTATCTCTCCATATAGAATGGGCTCCACTAAGTTTGCATTGGAGTTAGATCTTGGACCCACTGCCTGTGAACTCATATATTGTCCCAGTCACACCATTGTCACCTATATTAAGGGAGTCTAGTTTGGTCTTATGCAGGTTCCCCATTTATCAGACCTGAGTCAGTGATCTCTCACTAGCTGAGGTCAGCTGATTCTGTGGGTTTCCCCATCATGGTCTTGACTCCTTTGTTCATATTATCACTCCTCCCTCACTTCAATTGTATTCCAGGAGCTTGGCCCATTGGTTAGTTGTGGATTTCTGCATCTGCTTCCATCTGTCTCTGGAAGAGGGTTTGAGCTAGGGTTGTGGATTGTAGGCTGGGTATCTTTTGTTGTGTGTCTGGTATCCATTTATGAGTGAGTACATGCTATATTTGTCATTCTTGTTTTGGGTTACCTCACTCAGGATGTTTTTTTTTCTAGTTCTGTCAATTTGCCTGTGAATTTTACCATGGTGTTCTTAACCACTGAGTAGTACTCCATTGTGTAAATATACCACATTTTCTTTATCCATTCTTCAGTTGAGGGGCATCTAGGTTGTTTCTAAGACCTGGCTACCATGAATAATGTTGCCATGAACATAGTTGAGCAAATGTCCTTGTGGTGTAAATGTACATGCCCAACAGTATTGTAAGGTCTTGAGGTAGGTTGATCCCTAATTTTCTGAGAAATCACCATGCTGATTTCCAGGATACAAGTTTGCACTCCCAC